GAGAGTCAGGTACTTAAACAACTGAGCCACCCAGGCGCCCCCAAGCTCCCTTATTTTAACAGAGGAAAATACAAGGCATTTAGATGTTAAGTGACTTGTCTCCTACCAGGGAGTCCAAGACAGCAAGGAGCAGAACACAGGCCTCTTTGCCGCTCCTCTTCTGTCTGCTGCGTCAGACCACACTTTAAGCATTTTCATACCCTCGTATAACCAAAATCAATATTCTCACACGACCTGGAGCCATCAAATTATTCATAGCTTTCCTTAGGGCTTGCTTCTCCTTTGATCTGTCTATTGAATCAAACTAGGTGAGGCATAAATAGTCTGAATTTCATTAAAATCAGGTTCCTGGACAAAAGATGTGTTAAGTGTCAAACTAACAACTACAGCAAGCACGGTTTCCTTTCAGGATTTCTCCTGAGAATATAAGACCTCTACAGGTAGGGAGTTCTGTTTTATTCACTAACATACCCCAAGTGCCAGAGTAGTGCCGTATATACAGTAGGCCCTCAACAAATAATGAAAAAGTCAACTTCCTTGGTAGCTACTGGTTTAAAAACATCTTACTTTTCATCAGTATCTTACAGTTGTATTCAAAATCCCAACTTTCCAATTTGGCTCTCATTCTTTAAGTTTAAGGGTAACAGAGGTTATGACTGTAAAAAATAATAAATATATATCTATATATTTAATGTGCCTATAAACATGTATTAGATATATATTTAAGAACATAACTCTATATATTATACATAATATAAGTATGATAATATAATCTAGATGTCTAAATATCTATATTCTCTATCCTGGACTGGCATTAAAATTCTTCAGATAATCTCTGTAGCAAGAAAATAAACTGTTATAACAAATGCTAAAAAACTGTTAATTCATAACTATGTGCGTATCTATACTGCTTATTTATTTGATCCACATTTGGCTGTATTTACATGTAATAAAATAACATATACTCGGAACTAAGTTGTAGTAGTCTCTCTAGTATAACACCAGGGGCACCTGGGTGGCTCAGTTGATTAAGCATCTGACTCCTGATTCGAGCTCAGGTCATGATCTTGAGCCCCATGTCAGGCCCTGTGGTGACAGTGCAGAGGCTGCTTGGGATTCTCTCTCTTCCTATCCCTCTCTGCCCCTCCCCCACTCACGCACTGTCTCTCTCTCAAAATAAATAAATGCATTTAAGAAAATTAAAATAACATTTCCTTAAGTAATTACTTTAATTTTTATGATAAAGATAGTCCCTTATGAATACTGCTAACATGGGTTCGTTTAGTATGTCTTTATTTTAAAACACAGTTAGCTCTTTAAGATAAAAAGGAAAAAGCAGGTCTCTTACCTGAGAAAAATACAAATATTATTAGGATGTTAAAGTAACTTTTCCTGTGAGCCTTCACAGGGAGAATATCATGGAATACGGAGCAAGATATTCTCAGAACAGCGCACTAGGCATTGCAACAGATTTCACTCAACTATTTTTTCAAAAGTACTTCCACTTAAGCCAAAATGTAACTCAAGAAAAACAACGAAAGCTACGGTGAGGCACACAAAATGATACGGTTCAAATGCCTGTTTTATGGGCTGACTTAGTTGAAGCATAGTTTTTATTTTTAGTATTTATTATTTTATTTTCCCCAAGTTTTACTGAGATATAATTGACACATAACACTGTACTAGTTTAAGACGTAGAACATAATGTTTATACTGCAGTCGCTACACTGAGTTTAGTTAACTTCCACTGCCCCGCTTAGCTATGTCAGAAGAACTTTTAAGATCTACCGTCTTAGCAGCTTTTAAATATATCATACAGTGTTGTTAATTACAGTCGCCTGTTGTAGATTACCTCTCCAAAGTGTGTGTGTTTTATAACTGGAAGTTTGTACGTTTAGACCTCCTTCTAGGGTAGTTTTTGGGTCCTTTAGAGCTGTAGTCTCCCAACTACTTTTGAACATATGCCCCATCATTAAAAAACAAAATTTTTGAGCACACATCCCCTACATATTTTATGTATTTATAAGCTATGTAATAACTTACATATTCACATATATGTACATATGTTGATTCCACAGAACTCAATTGTATGCATATCCATATACATCTACCTATACAAATATATTTTTAAGTGAGATATGTAAAGAATAGAAATTTTAAAAGGATAAAATAATAGAAAGCCTTAATAGAAGGTATTGTTTTCTTCCTACATTCCAATGTTTCGTTTTGTGCATACCTTGGGACAATTCATTTTGGAACTCATAAATACAAATGACACTCCTTCACTAATAATGTTTTTTTCCCCTCAACTAAGCTTTTAAGTAAACATTGGGCAGTGTGATTTCAAGGTCATTTCTCTGACAAATACCTGGAGTAGGGCTATGCGGCTGGCTAGTGCAGAGTCACATACTTTCATAGTCAGGAGGTGGTGGTGAAGAGGGACATACCTTATGAGAACTGAACTTGCTAGAACACACGTTTGGTTAGAACCCTATTCTTACTCTACAGAGGTAGATCACAATATGCCAGGAAGAACACAGTAGTGAATGATGAAGACCTCAGGTCTAACTCCAGTATGTATCCTCGTGATCTAATGACATATTATATAACAATACTTCAACTCTAATATAGATCTATATCAAGACATTTTCTCGTTACCTATCTGGACATTCTGCCAGTGAGAAAATTAAATTTCAAAACTTCAGAATCCACAATGTATGATATCCAACTGTTAATATCCTAGCCTTGAATATCATTGTAAAAACCTCCGGTGTGTGAATTTAATCTAACGTTTAAATGAAAATTCAATAACATGCTATTATGCAAAATAGTATACAAAAAACCATGAATATTCACTCTGATAATTCTTGGAGCAATAATCAATGTTTCCTCAGATTTTACTCAATACTAATGAATCGAGAGTTATATTTTTCATGCTTCTCCATTTCTACATTTGCGTGCCTGTAACTTTTTAATCACAAATAATTCTGCAGTGATAGTTACTCTTTTTTATATATAATGTTTATTTTTGAGAAAGACAAACAGACAGAGCGGGGGAGGGGCAGACAGAATCTGAAGCAGCTCCAGGCTCTGAGCTGTCAGCACAGAGCCTGACACAGGGCTGGAACTCACAGACTTTGAGATCATGATCTGAGCCAAAGTTGGACGCTTAACCGACAAAGCCACCCAGGCGCCTGCCAGTGATACGTACTCTTATCGCATGTATTGGTTAAAAGCTTAGACGGGAGAGAACACTCGTTCAGATCTAAATGTAAATGCTTTGCTAAATGTTTTATAGCCATTGTATCATTTAATTTTCACAACAATCCTGAAATGATAATTACTATCCCCATTTTATAGATCAGAAAAATAAGGCTTCAGGGCTTTAAGGTCAAGGTCACACAGCCAAACTTTAAACCTGCCTGTGTCTGGCCTCAGAGCCTATTCTCCTTCCCCCAAGGGGGTTACAATCACCGAACTGATTCAAGAACATCAACATGAAATGCACGGTCTACAAACGAAAGATAATTTCTCTGGATTCGGAAAGATGACTGAATTAAAGTGCGTTAAAGCCAAGGCCCTGGAAAATATCACTATATCGCTGTAAAACCACCCCCCACTTCGGTGTTAAATCTGCTCCTCCTCTATCCTGCCCTTCCTACAGCCCAAACACGAAGCTTAAGAGAGTCGGAGTTGACTCCATAGAGTTCAGTCGACTCCAAAGCCTGCATTACTACAGAAGCGTTGCTCAACCCTCCCTCCTGAAAACCCTCGTCACAAAACACAGCACAATTCCAAAAAATTGAGTATTAAAAAAAGTAAACGTCTTAAAGAATTCTCCTTAAACTCTCCTTGGAGATCAATTAATTTTATAATGGGTACCATACTGCAGTAAATAATACACTAAAACACAATATTTACTTCATACTTTAGTCTGCCATTATTATACTATTCATTCCTTTATCAAACAGAGCCAGGTATCATCTCAGACTCCACAGAGAGGCTTCCTAGTCAAATACGAGGGGAAAGGACAACTTTCCTAACAATACCAGCTGCAGAGATACTGAACCATGAAGGAAAAAAGGATCACTTCTGGGTTGCACTCCATCCATTTATAACACAGTTTCTCACTTGCTAAATCTTAGGCTTGAGAGAGACCTCAGCACCTCCGGTTTTAGTTCCCACGTTATAGAAGAGGTAACAAAATTCTAGACCTTGAAGAGCTGGAAGGATTAGCATCTTCCAGTTTCTTAAAGAATTCTTTTATTTCAACCACAGGAATATTTGTTTCCAACAGGACAAATGAGAGCCAACATGTGCGAAGAATCAAACACACATGTTACCTTCAGTCCTCACACTGAGCAGATTTCACAGCAATGGAAATACCTAGGATTTCGCCCAAGGTCACATCTATAGGAAGAGGCGGCGCAGAATCACTCCGGGGGTGCACACGGAAAAGTCTAGGGAGGGCTCGCTCGGGAGTTTCATGTGCAAGGGCACATGGGACCCAGGCGACGAGGCAGGACACCGACTCGGAACCCCGGGCACGGCATCTGCAGGCCCCTGCCGGCCGGAGCTGCCGGAAGCGTGTGACCTTTACCCCAAACCCTGCGGGGCGACCAGCCGGCTCGGCTCCGCGTGGGTCAGCTGGAGGGAAACGGGAGCGAATGGGAATTTCGTGAGGACCCACACCGACTCGTGGCCGCGGAAAAGGGGAAGGATAGACCCCAGAAGCCCGGTCGGGGTTTGGGTCGCGCCTAAGAGATGGGGTGCAACAAAGGTCGGGAAGGGCGCTGACGCAAGAATCGCAGGTTTAGGACAGACGGGGGCGGAGAAGGCGGAAGGCTGGGAGGGTGGGGGACTGAGCCGGTTCCCCGGAAGGGAAGAGGCTGCGGCCGCGGAGGATGCCTTCAGCGGCAGAGCCGCCCGTGGCCTCTCAAGGTCCATTTTCGAAGGAGGGGGAGGGCGGGTGTCGGAGAGAGCCATTCTGGACCTATTACCTGCTGGGTGGTTGTAAATCGGCCTCAACTTCTCCGGCAGCATGAGCTCCACTTTATCGAGGACCCGGTGGTAGGTGGCCCGAAGGCCCCGGACGCCGGCGGCTGACATCTCTGCGGACGCGGGATCGTGGGCGGCCGAGCGGGACGGCGGCCGCGTGCTCCTCCCTGGATGACAACGAAGGGCACTCGTCACCTTCTCCAGCCGCGGCGCCCGGCGTCCTCCGCTCCCCTCGCGCGCCCTTCCCGCAGCCCAGCCCGCCCCCCTGCGAACCGCCCCGAGGCCGGGGCCCAGGAGACACCGGGGGGCGGGGGCTCTCCGGCGGCCCGCCCCGCTCCGCCCCCGCCCGCCCGCCCGCCCGCCCGCCGCGGGAAGGAGGAGGAGTCGCGGCAACAGGTGCCAGAGGGCCCGCCTCACCCGACCAATACGGCGCCCCGGCGGCAGCGCGCGTGCGCGGGCCGAGCTGCCCACGGTGATTGGCCTGCCCCGCGGGGTGGGCGGGGTCCCGCGCGAACCGCTAATCTCTCCTTCCTGCCCTCGAGGCCATGTTGGAGAAGGGAAAGTGAAGCTGCGCCGGCTCCGGTCCCCTTTCACTCTGACTGAGAAGGCCCGTAGTTAACGTGGGCTTTCCAGGCCTTCGGTGCCCCGACTAAAGATGACGCCGCACAATGCTCTTCTTCGTTTGGAATGAGACTCGTGACGGAGAGACGTCACATCTCATCATCATCTCTCTCTATCCCTCACTTGTCCACAGAGACTCGAGGATTCGGCCACGGCGTCCCGAGCCCGCTTTGCTAGGGTGAGGGCGGCCGTGGCGCACTCGGGCCTCGGCCCCGGGGGTGGTCGTCATCTCGCGAGAAAGGCTCGGAGGGGAGGGCGTCGAGAGCGAGGAGAGGGAGGAGCCGCGGCCGCCTCCGCCTCCTCCTGCTGGAGGGGGCCCGAGGGAGGGATTGTTGCTGATCTCTGGATGTTCTGGGTAGTCTGAGGAGGAGAGTATGAGGCGAGCTCCGGCCCGGGCGCGGCCGGGCTTCGGGGGCGAGGGCGCCGCCGCCATCTAAGCCGCCGTGCTCGCGAGGCCCGGCGCGCGGACGATGCTGGTGCGGCTCGGGTGTTGATCCGCGTGTCCCCTCCCCCTTCTCCCCTCCCCCACGCGGTGGTCTCCCCTCCCGCCCCGGCCCGGCGGAGCCATGTCTCGGGGTGGCTCCTGCCCACACCTGTTGTGGGACGTGAGGAAAAGGTCCCTCGGGCTGGAGGACCCGTCCCGGCTGCGGAGCCGCTACCTGGGTGAGCGGGGGCCCGGGGGCGGAGGCGCCGAGGTCGCCGCCCTGAGGTGGGGGAGGGGGCCGCGCCGCCGGGGCTGTTGGAGGTGGGACCGCGCCTCGGCGGGGGGCGCCCCGGAGTCCCTGGGGTGCTGGGTGGACGTTGGCCGACGGACTCCTTGCCGGAGTCCTCTCACGGCCAAGCCCCCCCCTTGCATGCTGCCAGCCACCGCCCTTGCTGGGCTCTCCTCGGGGGGCTTGGCGGGGGCGGGGGGCACGGACGCCGCTGGCCGCAAAGGTGTCGGCGTCGTTCGCGGAGTGGGATTTGGGAGAGGACTTGCCGCACCTCCCGGAGCCTCTTCGTGTCGAGCCAAAGTTGGCGCTGGTGCTCTTCCCCCGGCGCTCTGCCCGCTCCGCCGAAGGACTAAGTTTTTGTTGACAGCCCCAGAGGGTGCGGGTGCGGGTGCGGCGCCCCCCTGGGGACCTCCGCCCGGGACCGGCTCGGCGTGAACTGGCGGCGGCTCGCAGCCGGACCCTCAGTGTGGCCGCCGAGCCCTCCCCGCCCCCGCGCCCCGGTGCCGCCCGGCGCTGTTCGGGTCGTTGCGACCGCTCTGAGGAGGTGTAGGGTTTCGCGCTCCCCGTCCCTCCACTGCAAACGCACTTGGCCTTGACTGGGTCTCAGTTCAGCTTTCTAAAAACAGCCCTCGGCGCTGGAGGGGACGGTAGTCCACCGCTTTTCGTGTTGGTGACAGTGGTTTTGTGAGGATTCTGGGTCAAGCTGAGCCAGCTAAAAAAAAGTCCAGAAAGGTGGACGTATTTATAGTAAGGGTCTTTTTTTCTTCGGCCGAATTTCAGCACATTGTATTCTCTTTTATTGGAAGATAAGACATCATTTAAAAGCACCCCCCCCCCCCGGTTTTGTCACTTTTGCCAGGCAGGTGTTCAGTGACGGCATTCGGTTTTGCCTTCAAATCAAGGCATTTTCTTTAGAAAACGAAATCTTCCTACTGTAACGGTTCTGGTTTGTTACTTACTTGAGAGCACTGAGCAAGCATTTGTTTTTCCTATTCTTGTGTTTTAGAGTTTTCAAGCGACAGGTGAATACATTTTTGTCGTACAAACTTAATAAAAATGAAGCAGAAATTTCTATGATTCCCTCCCATTTCAGTCTCTCTTTCTCTCTCTCTCTCAGAGGTAACACTGTTATCTGTTCCCTGAATGTTCCTGCAGACCTTTTTTGCATTTTTACAAGCACACATGTACATATGGAAATGCTGTAGGGGTGTGTGTGTGTGTGTGAATCCTGCATCTTTGCTGTCGTCTTGTAAACCTTGTTTTGCAATTTGCTTTTTCTACATTCCCTCTTAGAGATCTTTCCAGGCAGTAAAAATAGACCTATTCAGACTTTTAAACTATTGCATAGCGTTTAACGGTATGAAGGTCCTGTAGTCCACTTGGACATTTCCTCTGGAAATGAACCTTGGCTGTTACTAAAGCACTCCAGTGAATATTTTTATACATGCTTGTATAATATACATATATTTATATATATATATATATACACAAATATACATATTTGTTCTAGGATAGGTACCTAGAGTGGTGATTAATTGTTTCAAAATTAAACATCATTAGGGAGTGTTTTTAATCATTAACCTAAAATGGTATGCAGTATTTCTTTTAATATTTTTTTTGTTGAAAAATAACAATTTTAGCTTGATAAAACGAACTTGAACACTGTGTTCTGCATGAATGAATTTGTTTGGTCCTGAATTAGTTGGATTGTTTTAAGTACTGATCTACATAGGTTTACGTATTAGCGTTTTCTTTAGGTTTAGTTTCTCAGCTGTATCTATGACAGTGGGTTAAAATATGAATCCATACCTTTCCTTTCCCCCCTTCCTCCTCTGTCTCCCTAATGGGAACAGAGTTGGCGTTGAGTAGCGTGGAATTGAAGAGCAAGAGTCTGCTGATTTCAGTAGAATTTCCAGATTATCGATTTTCAAATATCAGTGTGTGTGTATATATATATACATATGTATGTATATATATGCTGTTCCTTATCTTAAATAATATTTTAAATGTGATAATATATACTTTATAAATAGTGTATTTTTGAACAGCATCCTTTAAAAGTGGTTTTCTTTTTTTTTTTTTTTTAATGTTTTATTTATTTCTTGGAGAGAGAGAGAGACAGCGTGAGCAGGGGAGGGTCAGAGAGAGAGGGAGTCACAGACTGAAACAGGCTCCAGGCTCTGAGCTGGCAGTCAGCACAGAGCCCGACGCGGGGCTCGAACCCATGAACCGCGAGATCATGACCTAAGCAAAAACCGGACGCTTAACCGACTAAGCCACCCAGGTGCCCCTGAGCATCTTTTTATGTACTTATTTGCCATCTTTATATTTTCAGTGAAATGTCCCTTCATGGTTTTTTGCTCAATTTTCTCAATTTTTGTTTGGCTTATTTTTTTTACTGTTGAGTTTTGGGACTACTTACATAATTTAGGTACTAGTCCTTTATCAGGTGTGCAGTTTTCATTATTTTCTCCCAGTCTATAGCTGATTTTTTCATTCTTTTCATAGGGTCTTTTGCAGAATGAAGGTTTTTAACTTCAGTGAAGTACAATTGATCAGTTTTTCCTTTTAGGATTATGCTTTTGATATCATGTCTGAGAACTCTTAACCTATCCCTAGATCCTAAAGGTTGTCTCCTAGGTGTTTTTCCCTAAAATTTTATTTAAGTCTAGGGTCCATTTTGTGTTAATTTTTATATGATGTGTGTGGTTTAGCTTGAAGTTCATTTTTGTGCCTATGAATGTCCACTTGATCTAGCACCATTTGTTGAAAGGCTGTATTTCTCCATTCAATTACTTTTGCACCTTTATTTTAGAATTTCTCCATTCAATTACTTTTGCACCTTTATTTTAGAAATCAGTTGGGCATTTTTGTGTGGATCTAATTCTGTGTTCTCTATTCTTTATCATTGATTTGGGTGTCTGTTCCTCTGTGAACAGTACCACACTGTCTTGCTTATTATTGTAGCTGTATGGTAAGTTTTAACATCAAGTTGAGTGATCTTTCCCCCCTTAGTTTGTTTTTTTCAAAATTGTTTTAGCTGTTCTATGTCTTGTGCCTTTCCATATGAGTTGTAGGACAAGCTTGTTTTTATCCCCAAATTACCTTACTGAGATTTTGATAGGAATTGCTTTGGATTTATATATCAATTAGAGAAGAACCGACATCTTTGTATTGAGTCTTCTGATCCATTAACATGGTACACTCTATATTTAAGTTGGTGTCTTTCATCAGCATTTTATAATTATCAGGGTATGTTATACTTATTTTTTTATATTTATGTTTAAATATTTAATTTTCTTTGGAGCAGTTACAAATGGTTTTGTGTTTTAAGTTCAACTTACATATGATCATTATTAGTATATGCAACTTTGTGTATGTGCTAATCTTGTATCCTGTGACCTTGCTGAAGTCACTTACAGTTCTAGGATTTTGGGGTGTCGGAGGCCGCGCCGGCTCTGACAGGTCCAGGGGTCCCTGAAGGATGGACGGTGTCGGCGAGAGAGTGAGAGAGCCCCGAGATTCTTTCTGATCACCAGGCAGGCATCTCTGTCCTGTCGGTTTGGGTGTCTTTATTTAAAGGTTCAGCAACAACATGAAGTCAGAGAAAGGAATTTCTACAATGGGAGGCNAGTGACTGAATTAATGAGATTAATGAGTTTTTAAAAAATAATATTTTGAAGTACTCCTACAAAGTCTTTTATGAAGCCCAAGTTCAAGAGTTTAGAAGATGGGGGCACCAGGTTTAAGGTTAAGTGTCCAACTCTTGGTTTTGGGGTAGGTCATTATTTTACGGTTTTTGAGTTCGAGCCCCACATCAGGCTCTGTGCTGGCAGCTCGGAGCCTGCTTGGGATTCTCTCCCTCCCCTCTCTCTCTCTCTCTCTCTCACTCTCTCAAAATAAATAATAATAAATTTAAACAATTTTAAAAGGTAGATTCCTTTTTTCTTTTTGAGACTTCAAACATTTTGATTGTTTATAGTATCGTAGATTATTTTTTCAATTTATCTCCATTATTTGTATTTTTAATAATGAATTACTTGGTAAGTAAATAACTCACAGATAGAATTGAAAGATTATTCTTGTAGTGTTTACATTTAAAATTATTTCACCATAGCATGTGTTTTTCCAATAGTGGTATTCAGGCTTTGTAGGTGATTTTAAATTTAATTAATTACTTCTATTCCTCCTGTCAAAACTGCTGTTAAGTAAAACATCTTTTTATATTGTGGGAATGAAGATAAATAATTTGCTATGTTATTTAGAAGAAAAATATGTATGTTCACTTACAACCCCCAAATTCACAAGATTTTACTGGGATTCAGAGGCTAGGCCAGCTATTGTCATCTTTATGGGCCTGATCAAAATTTCCATGTAGGATTCATTTTTTTATAGACTGAGTTACAAAGTCCAGCATCGGAAACACCTGTAGATTTAAATGTTTGCATCTCAAGATACTGTAGTGCTTTTGGGATTCAGTGATTATTATAATAATTTATCGGTCACAAAGTTTAGATACACACAGTGTTATAGAGATAAACGTTGCTTATAATAGAAGCTATTGTTTCTGCACATTTCTTTTTTCTACTCCTATTTCTCTCATTTTATATGGACTTGTCCACGCTTGAATTTATACTTTGTAACCCTTCTACTTTTATCGACAAAAGAGTAAAAGAACTTTTCAAGGGAGTTGTGTGCCCTAATGTATTGTATGTTTAATATAAAATCCTTAAGCTATGATTAAGCAGTGTTTTGGTGAGCTTGGGCTGCTGTGACAAAAAAGCATAAACTGGATAGCTTATAAACAACAGAAATGTATGTCTCACAGTTTTGGAGGCTGGAAGGCTGAGAGTGGGGTGACTGCGTCAGGATCTCAGCCTGGTGAGGAGGGCCTGCTTCCTGATCCAAGGCCATCTTTTCCTTGTAACCACACAGGGCAGAAGCAGGGTC